TACCTCGAGAGGTTCGTTTTTTATTCTTGACTCTTTTTGGTGTTAAATCTTTCCTAGATTGTGGATAATCAATAGGGAACTTTAGGTGTACAAATTGGTTTGCGCATTACAACAGTTGGGAGCTGAAAAGCTGGATCTTAACGACATCGTTGATAACTCCACTTTCATAAAAATTCGAACTGCTCTGGAAAACAATTTCCCGAGAGATTTGAGTAAGTTAAAAGATTTCTGATCGATATGTAGGCTTTTTCGTCTTATCTCTCAAAGTTTTCAAAGGGGTGAACTCTCTTTGCTCTTTTGTAGGGTAGTTGGGTTAATCAGAATCTTCGAAATCTGTGCTGGGAAGGTGTTCATGTTTGAGCAGTCTGAAAACTTGACAGAATTGTTTTTCACAATTTGAATTGCCTTGCTTTTCTGCGTGGTTTTCTCAGAATTGCTTCGAGATTGTGTGAAAGCAACTAGTCCATTAGATATTGCTTTATTATTGCTCTCCAAGGAACCTACTTCAATATTTAGACTTTAAGGTGTTATTGATCTTCATGTATCTCAGATTTTATCATCAAATCTACATTAATTGCAGCAAATTTTGGCAGTTCAGTGCCATATTGTTGGGTTTACTTAAAAAATTGTATTCTTCTCGCTTTGGTACAGTTACGTCATTCACGCTTCTTAAAATTGGCGAGGATATTGAATTATAAAAAAAAACAGTGATGATCACATCAACTCTTCTCATTGCAGCTCTTCTACGTGTGTCAGCGCTAGCTTTTTATAGCGCCCTTCTGCGATTGTTGGAAACCTTGAAAGGTCAGTTTTGGTTATTAGTTCTCTCACTTTGAATCTTCTTGAAGGCAGTACTTGTAGTTCAGGATAACTTTATAAGTAACAAAACTAAGAAATAAACTACCAAATGTTCATTTCAGATCCCCTAATACCTTTCTCCGTACAACGTGAAATAAGGGTTGCGTCAAGCGATGCCACTGCGTAGGTCTTTTTTGATTTTTTTTCTAACGTTGCCTATATGTTTTTGGTTGATCTACTTACGACACATCTTTCAAAATCATTTTGCTTTTTAACTCTAGTACTAGGATTTTCATTCACATTTTTAAGACCTTGTTCTATCTGCTTCGATAGAAAGAAATCTAGAGCTCTATTCAATTTCGTTTCAATGCATTAATTGGAAATTTCTTTGTCACTTTTGTTGTCTGGCAAGCAGTTCTGATTATTGGGTGCTGCAGGCTTTGGAAAATTATCTCGACTCTTCCACCTGCAAACGCAGCTACTCTTGAATATGTTGTCGACTATCTGCGGGAACTGATCACACAAATGCCAGAAGCAGCAGGTAGGATAACATCAAAACTTCAGTTCATTTATCTAATCTATGCATTTTAGACCAACTTGTAGCCTGGGCCGATGTAATTTTCCACGGAGGCGCACTTCTAACTACTGTACCTCATCTAGAACCACGTGTGGTTGCCTTACGGAGCTTATGCGCTTACAGGAGGGATGTCGCCATCTTTTGTGATAGTTGAAGTTTTGACACTCAAAGAATCTTTGGTTTTGGCTTTACATCGAGTTATAATATTTATTTTATTTTGACTCTTTTTGAAGGAGGCAACTTTTCCTTCCATCTGATCGCATTTGTTTTTCTACGGATATTTGGCCTGTAATTATACTCAGTGTGCAAGTACCCTTCTAAGGTTTAAGCATGGAACTCAGCACATAGTGTGTTTTAGCATTCGAGTAACTTTCTATCGTTTTGTAATGGCTCTGGAAAGTGCCCCCAACCTTTTATCGAGCCAGTTTGATCAACTTTGTAATGTGATGATCCCGTTTGTCTTCCTCGACTTAGTTATGCATGGGCTTATGCTGCAGTTACGTTTTGTTCATTTGTTCACTCAGGAGTGCGCCATATTCTTTGACTTTCTATATTGCCGTCCGAAATTTCTTGGTTGATTCCTTTTGCTTATTAATGGTGATGATTTGTGATATTCTACGTTGAATCTAGTGGACTCGATATTAGTTTATAATACGTTGTGAGTGTTTGAGCAGATTAAAAAGCTATCTGTCTTATGCTGGTGGTTATTACCGTTTCTTCGGAATCTATCTACCAAGATTTTACTAGAATTATTGTTATTTGTTTTTATTTGTATT